GTCAACCACGACAGCGACGACGGTGTCAAGTTGCTGTCAGTCAGACTTGCTTCGTAGCATGCCCCTGTGTGCTGTGCTTGGGCCCCCTGTGTTGCCTCATGCGTTTCCTGGTTTCTCTATCAGTCATGTGTGTTTTACAAAATGCAGAATGACCATTTTCTTCATCACGCTATCCCAAGTTAACTGGGTAGTTAGTATCCCGGGTACACGATTATCACCAAAATACTTTTTGTTCCACTCCCATAAATTCAAGCCCTGTCCCTTACACTGAAATAGCTGTCACGTGTCGGATCGTTGGCATGATAATCGAAGTCGTAGGTGGTGGCGCCGCCTGCGGCAGTGCCGCACCTGCAGGTGACGTCCCCTACATAATTACTTTCATCATTTTAGGGCAACGTCTACCAGAAGCACAGCATTCGTATGACGTTTCGCACGCTGAAAAGAACGACGCGAAGCGCCTGCGCAAACATGCAGCGAGGGCTAAAAACCGAGACCATGAGACCATGGCTGCGCCACGTCAAAATCACGGCTGGTGGTGCGCCCAAACATCACATGGAGATATCGACCTGTTCAAGGTGACGTCAGTAGCAGCATTGAGTATTGGGGCCATCAACTGAATACACTTGGCGCATGCCAGATAAGGAAAGCGACACGATATTGCATACGGGACATGGCAACGCGTGGAGGCCGGGGCTGGGGAGTGATAGCCATACCTGACCGGGGCTGGGGAGTGACAGCCATCCCCAGCCGAGGCTGGGAGTGACAGCCGTTCCCGGCCGGGGCTGAGAGTGACGGCCGTCCATGACCGGGGCTGGGGAGTGACAGCCGTCCCCGGCCGGGGCTGGGAGTGACAGCCGTTCCCGGCCGGGGCTGGCAGTGACGGCCGTCCGTGACCGGGGCTGGCAGTGACAGCCGTCCCCGGTCGGAGCTGGGAGTGACGGTCGGCGGGCTACCCGTCAGATGACGTCAGGCGACGACTCTCAGGAGTTTGGCTGGAAGCTGACGCATCGCGACATGTTCCGACCGCCTGGGCACGGCACGCTGCTCTCCATGCTGACCGGCTCCGGTGCCCAGGTGCTCTCCAGGATGCTCATCACACTCGATGGGTGACTGGCGGCCGCTTTGGTGGCCCTCGCGTCTGAGCCGTGTTTGGGCCGGCCCAGCGGTGATGGTTGTCCGTGCCATGGTTGACATCGCAGCAACACTGTCCTCACGCCTGGCGCTCTTTCAATGTGTGGCACTGTTAGCGGGACTGTACGGCACCCGTCGTTTGAAGAGGATTGTTTTGATTTAGTGGTCCCTGTAGCGGTTTGAGCAGGGCGGCTGTGTGTTTTAATGTTGCTGTTAAGGCCGCTTTGATTTTCGAGAAGGTAGTTGCATCATGCAATGACGTGGGCACAAACCGTTCATCGTATACTAAAAAAATCGTTAAAGAAATTTACATCTCCCGCATAATTCACTCAATTAACTGCTTTGGTCCTGCCTGTGCTGCGTCGCTGACCTTCTGTACCAGCACCGGGGCTGACTTCTGACTGCCTGCACCAATGTCGATGCTGACCTCCGACCGTCCATATCAGCGTCTTGTGTTGACCTCTGACCGGCCGCTGCAGTGTTCGCGTGCCTGGCCCTGCTGACACCGGTCAACTGCGGCTCACTGATGACCTGTGGGCTCGTGCTGTACGTCTGCCTGGGTACGCCCACTGGTTACGTGACCGCTTGAATCCACAAGCCGCTTGTTGGCGAGAAGTGGGGACTCTAGCTGCCGGCGTCGGGCCGCCGCTCTCTCCGGACAGAGGGCACCGGCGCTGACGAGTCGGCTTCGACCCGCACCCACCCGCCGCGCTGGCACAGAATTTGCATCGCTCATGCGTGCATCCTATTTGCGCTATTTCGGTGTCGCTGTAGATTTAGAACGTGATGGAAGCACTCCCGACCGTGAAATGCACCAAGCTGGGAAAATCGCCACATTTGAATTGGCTGATGATGCGGTGTGTGCGGGAGGCTGTGTCGTTGAGTCCTGCTCCCAATCGCAGTGGAGTCGGTGAATGCAGCCAACGTAATTGCCATTGGTCATTGGCAAGGCCTGTGCCCAGAGAAAAGAAATCACTGCTGTCAGGGTCGGCTGGGACGTCTGTTCCGCTAGATGCCGTGTCTATCTTGGGTGCAGTCAGACTGCTGTGGAGTGTGTCGACAGCGCTCCCGCTGAGCCCCCGCCCGCCTCCCGCCCGCAGCATTGTGTTCAGCACCACGCTGCTGCTGAACTTGGTGCTGTGGGCGCACGGCTCATCGGCGGCGCTGCCCGTCCTCACCACGCTGGCGCTGATCGGGCTCTGGTTTGACCTGTCCGTACCACTCACATTCGTCGGCGCCTACTTCTGTTTCAAGAGGCGCGTGCTGGAGCACCCGGTGAGCGCTAGGCGCGGACGGAGGGCGGCCGCGCGGCGTTACCGGCAGCTGCCCTCGAGCTCCCACTTTGCTTTCCAGAGGACCGGAAGCTCCTGGTGAAATGCCACGTGATATTTGTGGGCAAGCGCAATGCTAGTTCCCATTATCGCATGTGGAATTTTCCAAATGCGTGCTTGCGTCTTCGTCACCTTCGTTTTGTCTAAAAGTGCAAAACGGGCTGAGCAAGTGATGCCACTTACTTGTTGTGTGCCTTGCTGAAAGTGATTTGTGCATTGCCTTATGTCTTTTTGGCCAGTCACATGCCGTATGCAAAGTTGGTACAATAATTTACGCTCGACCCATCTTCTCACTATAGAATTTATTATGAAAGCAGCAGAGATTGCAATGCAAAAACTATATCATTGGTTATTATGTCATGCTACAGTGCAGCATTGAGGTAGTGCCATAACCATGCTGTTTGCATTGACCAGTGCCATTATATAACGTGCCACCTTGGTTGACTAGTATATGTCAAGCCCTTGAGTAACGGTTCATAAGTTACGAGAGACCGCTAACAACTTATTGAACACTGCCAAAGGAACATTTTCAGCAAGAATGTGCTTGCATCACAGTGGTTATGTCGGAGTTAACTAGTGATTTTATAACTAATCCTGAGCAAGAAAAACATTCTTGATGGCTCAATGTTCTCATCTTTATGGAAGCAATAACAATGCTTGGGCAGCCAATGCATGGGAATGTTACAAATTATTGCTAGTTTTTGGATGTGATCCCATTTCCAGCTACAAATAATAAAGCAACCATTGTGCACACCACAAGATAACAATGCCAGGACTATAGCACTGCACGCAAAGATAGGTCGAAAATACAGCACCAACATCCTCGACAGTCCTTGGCAGCTCACGCCGTTACGGTAAGAGACCCATATGACACTATATGACAGCTTTTACAGCATATCCTGCTTAGATATCAATAATCTGCCACAAAAACTGGCGATTGCTACATTATGTATGTCAAACAGTCCCCCAAAACTTTTCCTACGGACAGTACCAAGACCCAAAAAATCCACAAACAACCCAGCCATCCAACCGCCACCCGGCGCAGCACTCGCCTCGAGAACGGCTGGCTGGCGTCAACCAAAACCCCATAACCACGTCATCTTGCACGCGTTTCAAAGTGTTTTGCACGCTACCCATTGACCACTAACCGACGGACCTTGCCACGCCCTAGGAAGCAAGTCGCATTGAAATGGGCATTGGGATCCCAAAATGATGAAGGTTTTCTAGGCTCATCGAGCGAAAAGAAATTCACGACGCTTACCTCTAAACAACCTCACTTCATCTGTCGAGCCTCGGGTTGCCGGAGCGCGTTGTTTTACATCTTTGCGTGCTGAACTCCGCCGATTTGAGTATAAATCGGCGCTGAGCACCCCTTTCCTCTTAGTAAGGAGAACGGGTGCGGATAAACCCTTTTCAATCCTCCACCTTCCAAGAGGTTTTATATGGGTGAGGTTTTAAGACAACATAAAGTACATCTCCGGTAAGAGGGCGTACCGGTCGGATACTTTATACTCATCATGCTCAGGAGATTAAACTGCATTTATAGATAAAATTTCAGGCCAACCCGAAGGGTCCGCTGATTATCGAGCATGAAACTGGGTCAAAGACATTGACCTATAAAAGACCCGGCTCCTCTGCTCGCTGGAGTGTTGCAAAGGACCACATCCGGATGAGGGTTAAGAACAACTGTTTCCAGCGTTATCGTTATGGCGTCTTTTCTGTCTAACAGAGGCCGTCTGTTTTCTTCTGAGACCAGATATTACCCCGACTCCACCCACCTCCCCCACTTCTGCTACGACGCAAAATCGCAAAATCAATGTGCCTGGATGAGTCTGTTCAGCCGCTACCCAGGCCTTCAGAGCAAACTTTGCTGTGCCGTATTGCGTAAAATTGATGTCTTTGACAGCCTCATAATTTCCAAGGCCCTCGCTCCCATCATTTCCTAATCACACGCCTCCGAAGGTCGGCCATCCGCCATAGGATTGTCATTGCGAGGCCAACTTTCGCCCCTCTGCGTGGTGGCGCTAGTGTCGCAAGACAGGAACAACCGGCCGGTCGCGGCGGCAATGGAAGCAGGCTGTCCAGACTTGTAAAGGTCAATGGTCAAGGATGATAAATGCAATACGTGCTGGTTCACGACCTGGACATTAGGATAGCCATAACTTTTTGATGCGGCGTACCGGTTCAAGATTTTGTGTTAATCGTTACCAAGAGGTCAACGTCTACCGGCACACGAAGTTCAGAAATAACCTGCCTTTTTATTGTGACCTTTCGTATTAATATAGGTCCCTTAATAGAGCGTACTGGTCCGAGATTGTGTGCTCAATGTGCTCAGGAGATTAAACTGCATCTGTATACAAAGTTTCAGGCCAGTTTGAGGAATCCGTTGAATCCCGAATATAGACCTGAATCTGAATGCGAATGTGGTGCCAACTAGACGAATGTTGCTGTGGGCCTTGTCCGCTGGAGATTGCACCAGTTGTCATCAGCTGGCATGATGGGTTATAAGATTACTGGTTTATAAAGTTACAGGTACATTAGCAGTCTCCAGCTGCATCAAAAGCTGTAGCTGTTTTGTATTTCTTTTGACGGGCTGCTCCTCTGCTTTTTTACATTGGGTGTTTGCAGGAGCTTTGCTGAATCACTTTCTCTTCAAAACTACGAAATGTCTATGTACCTTCAGTGCAAACAGATCAGTACGATGATGGCGCTGCGTTCGTGGCAGGTTGGTGTATTGTAGAACATTGTGATCAAGGGTCATAATTGCTACATGATTCAGACATCTGTCCATTTCTTGTCAGTCTGTGTTTGTTCAGAAAAGTAGCAATGCTTCCAGCCCATGGACACATATCAGCCACATACTTGACAGAAAGTGTAATGCTTCATGAATATATTGCAACCTATGGTGAAAAAACTGGCATTTCTCCTTAGTTTGAGCATGTATTCATATATTACAGTGGTGTTCACGTGAATCAGTGTTTCAAACCAGTATGGATGGCCAGAAAGAATAATGCATTTTCAGATGAGGACAACACTTTGGGCTGCATTGCTTACCTTGGTCCATAGGAGTTTTATAGCTGATCTTTTATTACAGATCTATCTAGTGTATTTGAACATGTGTTACTGCCCTAAATCAAATGCATCTTTGAATTCTCAGTCCCTAAATGTTGCTCCACCCACATGGCACAAGAGATGTTTTGCAATGTGGCCTGTTCCTACCCTCTTCTGCTACTGTCCTCCATTGCACTCTTCTGCTGGGTGTTGTGTATCCTGAGACTTGAAAGGATCAAACTCTGGAATAAGAAAATATAATTTAATTTATAATCTTGTTCCAGACAGTGCACCCACATAGACCCCTCATCAGATTCAGAAATGGACCCATGGCAGGTAAGTGGATATAGGGAAGTTTGTGTTGCACACCACATGTGTTTTGTGCATTTTCCAGATATTTATGATCATTCTGCCATCATGGAGCCTATTTGCAAAACAACTGAAGGTTCATATTTTGATTTTAAAATGGTTGATGCATCCCAGATGGCATCATTTGAATATGGAACTGAATGCACTGAAATGTGCATTGGGTTGAATTTTTCTTTAGATAGACTATTTGTAGCATGTATGATGGTGCTGCATGAGACAGCATCACTGTCTTGCATGTTTTATATTGTATTAGGTTTTTCAGACCTTACTGCCATGGGTGCTGTTCTTACACTGCCCCCACCATGTTTTGTTGTTTGGTTTTGGAGTGAAAAAACAAAACAGCTGTCATAGTTGCTTGAGTAGTAAAAAACAGTGCCATAGGGTTTCAGAAGGGGGGATGACAAGCATAAATCCAGGAGGCCTTCACATGGCAGGCCTCCCCAATGTTATGGGCTCCCCCTGAATGATACTCTGCAGTGCCAAACAGTGCCACAGGGTTTCAGAAAGGGGGATGGCAAGCAGAAATCCAGGAGGCCTTCACATGACAGGCCTCCCCAATGTTATGGGCTCTCCCTGAATGATGCTCCACCCTGCTTGAAGTGGATATAAAGTTAGTAGCTTAGCCTGATTTGTAAGTTTGATGGAAGTGATCACAGCTTTATTGAATAGTAGGACAAAATTAAAGTTTCACAGCTGAGCAAAATAAGGGGGACTGAGCAGAAAATGATGTAACCAATCTACAAATGGGTTTTTCCAAGGACTTAACACACTGTCTCCTCAGTTGGGGTTTTGTGCCCCTCTGCTACAAAGGTGGGTAGGCAACTATACCCCCAGTTAATGCTCTGTCACAAACCAAGGAAGTTTGTTGAAAATTGGGAGGTACATGTGTAAGTTTCAAGATTTAAAAGCAAAGATTCTAACTTGATTGCAATTTTGAATGTGAATCTGCCCAACACAAAGAGGATTGGAATCCCAAGATGCAGTGGATCTCATCACCAGAAGAAATAGAGGAGGTCTTGTTCCATGTTAGCTACTGGGCTTGTAATGCTGTGTTGTTCGGAACTACTGAATGTGCCAAGCTGATGCACCTATTTTTGAGTATTGAGTAGGAGCAAGATAATTTTTCCTGCTTGGTGAGCTGACAGCTGTCTGAAGTTATTCAGCCCCAGTCAGCGCCCATAGACCCATTGCCAAATTTTCAGATCAGCTTTCCCCTCCCCCTCCCTGCAGGTATCTGCTCCCTGAGATTGAGACAGAAGTGAGACCAGTCAGTTTTATAATCATCCTTTTCTGGGTACATGTTGAAGTATATTCGGGCTGGTGGATCAGCTTCTGGGGTTTGCTTTCCAGTGTCTTCAGAGCGCCCAAGTACCATCTCATCTGTTCAGGTGGCAGCGCCACCCAGCGCCCCTAGCGCCCCTAGCGGCGGCAGCAGGAAGTGGAGCGTGGTGCACGCCGGCCCCGTGCTGGAGGAGTGGCAGGTCCCGGCCCGCTACCGCCGCCTTCCGATGGACGAAAAGGAGATGGAGGCTATCAATGTAAGGAAATGGCGCCTGCGTTACGTGATGCCTTCCGTTTTTCCTGACGAAGCAGCGTTGGGTTTTGGATCAGATACGGCTGTTGGCATTCTGTAGTTAGTTATTGGATTTAAGGGCGCCAACCGTGGTGGTTACCGCGTGATGATTGTGACGTTTCGCGTTCGTGAGTTTCACTGTCGTCAAACCGGAGAAAAACAAACGGTTGGGCCGGTATTCCAGATATTCTCCACACATTGTGCGAAATGTGTCTGTTTTGTGATGGGACATTTGGGCGGCTGATCCGTGCTGTCTGCGTGCCGACGCGCCTACCCGTCCCCTCTGCGGTTCCGCACAACGGCTGCTAAGCGTCACATCCGATAGTTCGCGTTATCCGCTCCGTCCAGCCAAATCTGCAGCATATGAGAATCCCCGGAGCCTCCGCTCTGGAGATGTCGGACTCCACCACCACGCCACCGCCGTCCGGGTTACCACGTGCGTGATGACGACCTGTTGACCCGCTGCTGGGCCGGCCATCGTCACCCGAGGGCTCGTTTCAGATGGGAGGCTCCGCGTAGCGCCGCGGTCGGCCGGCGGTAGCAGCGACGGCGCGAGAGCGAGTGTGAATGACGGGTCGACTCCGAGTCGACCGGGCCGTCAGCGGCCGCCCGAGGCTCACCTCTCCCCAGGGTCCGACGGGTCACTGGCGCCGCGGCCGGCCGGCCGGCGGTAGCAGCGACAGGCGCGAGAGCGAGTGTGAGTGACTAGTCCACTCCGAGCCGACCACCGACCGGGCCGCCGTGCCGTCAGCGGCCGCCCGAGGCTCACCTCTCCCCAGGGTCCGGCGGACCACTGGCGCGGCGGGCTGTTTGCGCGAAACCAGAACTATTTGTAAATAGCGTGCGAATGTAATCGGGAACGCGCTGGGCTCGCAGGCGACAGCGGTCGGTACTCACCAAGCCTGGGAGAGGGGAGGGGGGTCCTGTATTCTGGAAGCCTCTTGTTGAAAGTACTTCGTACAAGCTGCTGGTAAAAACGACCGGTCATACTCGTATGCATTGTAGCTGAATTGCTGGTGTTTGTTATTCTGCGTTGAGTGTGCTAGGTCACGTAGAGAATACACGCGCATTCGGGAATTATTTTTGATGTTTGGTAAGCGCTAATCGATACGGGTGGCAGTAACGAAGGCACGACGTTTGTAGTAATTTATTACAATCACCCTGCGGTCCCCGTGATGCCCCGGACCGTTCGAACCTACTGTCTAGGCGGCGGTTTTCAAAACAGCCGTCCCAGCGTCCGGTTGTGTCCAGTTGTGTACGGACGCTCTTCAGACCTCACCCAGACGCCCGGCCGACACGTATTGACCCACCCCTGCAGAAAACACTGCTAAATAGGCGTCCACGCAGTGGTGCCTTATTAATGATTATCTTATGCGGTGGTGCCTTATTGCTATTACGGTACTTAATCCGACGGTTATCCACCGAGCGCTAGTCACGGTCCCGCGACGGGGCGATTTGTTATTCGGTAGACTCACATGACGCACACACACACACCCCAACACCAGAGTTGCATTGATAGATGACAAGGCATGCCAGTCAGGTCCCTAAGCTACAGCCAAACAGCATCCACGACCGAAGTCCGTCTTAGAAAACGTCGTAAAGTAGCACAGCACAGATCACCATCCATTGTTTCATGGCCCGACGGACGCGCCGCATTCCGTGAAAAAGTTCATTCCGGCGCATCGCTTCACAGTTTTCCCCACAACATACTATTTGGAAACTGCAATCACTGCTCAAAAGCAGTGGCACTTGGAGAAAGATAGAGCAATTCATCTTGCATGTTGCAGCAGAAAACGATTGCGAGCTTCTAGATATACTGGACGCGTAACGTCTTCCGCGGCAAGTAATTTGTTACGGCTCCCAAATGAAAGCGCTAGCCAACAGGTGCACGATGAGCTTCGTATAAAGGAAGCTGCCCAGAACAAGTGGGCATACGAAAGATCACTATGCTGAGAAACGATACAAATTCGTTATATCTTCTGAAGTCAATAAAGGACTGTCCGTCATAACCAAGTTGTGCGTGGCTATTATAGTGCTCACATCGATATTGTCGCCTTGTCGCCTTCACAGTTCACCGATAGACACCTCCGTTGTTTTTTGTCGTCGTCACATGCCGCGATCCGCCCGTAGACGTTGCCGTCATCAGTTGCCGCGATCCGCCGGTAGATGTCGCTGGCATCGCGTTCACATAGCCAGCAGGCGGCGGTCGCTGGAGCCGGCCGCCTTGCCGAGCAGCACCCCCTCGACCTGACGCGGGATGTCGGAGGAATACTTGGAGCCGACCAGCGACGACAACAGCTCCGGGAAGGCCGACGGCAGGATGGAGCGCACCCACTCGGTGCCGGTCATGTCCTGCGGCCGGGCGCTGTCATCAGCGCTCCGCTCACGCGGCATGGAGCAACGCTGCCGTCACAGTCGACAGACGCACCACAGAAGCACAGGTGCCGGGGCCCAACGCGGCGCAGAGGCGAGCCAAGCGGGGATATCGAGACGGGGCAGAGTACTCCGGCGTGGGGCGAGCGCCGTCGCGCGCGCGACCTCGGGTGGGCTCGGGTCGCTCGCGGGGATGGACGCCACAATATGGCCTCCAGCGATTGTGACTGGTCGTCTGGGTTTGCTGGGAAATACTGGAACGTTCTAAACAACTAGGATTTATCATTGAAACCCAAAGGATTCGAAAGGCAGTCGAATTTGCGCTCGGTGGTGACGCTTTTTCCACGCCGCCACCATAAACGCCCAGCCCAGAATGCCACTCTGGCGGCGTACCGACAGCCACATAAAAACTGAATTTTCGTGTTCAAGCCCCGAGTGATCATGTTGTTGGTTCTCAAACCACATCAACCGCTCAGGCTAAAAAACATTGGCGCACAATTCTGCAGCATCAGGTTCAGCATGTTCCGAAACCAGGGCCCGCGACTGCAGTCCTGCATCGCTCACTTCCACCGGCACACCCTTTGAGCAGGTACAAAGACGACCCCTTCACGACGCTTCATGCGAGCGCACGCTCTCTCCTACCAAGCACGGCAAACCCGCGCCCCATGCGCCGACGGTCACCCCGTGGGCCCGACCGGCGGCGTATCACTCACGGCGCTGTTGTCGGGGCGGAGCGGCTCGACGGCGGTGACCAGGCCACCCTTGACCTCCACCCGCACCTCGACGTCCGAGCAGGCGGGCAGGCGGAACGTGTGCCAGAACTGCGGCGTCTTGCCGTACACCCAGGCCGGTGCGGCCAGGCCCCGCTCCAGCTCGGTCAGGCCTGGCAGCGCACGTCAGGCAGTCAGGAATCAGGACCGGGGGACGCGGGCGGCAATGGACGCCAGTTGCCCCGGCCACGGGTGCGTTAGCAGGCGACACTGGCGCGTGGCCAGCCGTCTGGCAACAGTCACCGGTCGCAAGAAACAGAGATGATCTGAGAACCACTCGTCGGTGGGGCTGACCTAACCGACCTGGGACCCACTCGTCGGTGGGGCTGACCTGACTGACCTGGAACCACTCGTCGGTGGGGCTGACCTGACTGACCTGGGAACCACTCGTCGGTGGGGCTGACCTGACTGACCTGGGAACCACTCGCCGGTGGGGCTGACCTGACTGAACCGGGAACCACTCGTCGGTGGGGCTGACCTGACTGACCCGGGAACCACTCGCCGGTGGGGCTGACCTAACCGACCTGGGAACCACTCGTCGGATGGGGCTGACCTGACTGACCTGGGAGCCACTCGTCTGTGGGGCTGACCTGACTGACCTGGTAACCACTCGTCGGTGGGGCTGACCTGACTGACCTGGGAACCACTCGTCGGTGGGGTTGACCATCTGGAAGCCGCGGCTGGCCTGGCGGCCGGCCTGCTTCAGGTACAGCTGGCCGATAGCGGCCACTATCTTGTCCATGCTGACGCTGGGCGCGCCGTCGGCCAGGTTACGCACCTGCGCCGGCACCGACTCGGTGGCACGGCTCTCCAGGCCGTGCTGCCGGGCACAGGTCAGCGGGTCAGGCGCGGGTCAGCGGGTCAGGTGCAGGGCAGGTCGGGGAGCCGCTGTCATGACGTCAGCCACTAACTGCCGCGGCTGTCTAGCGCAGGGACAAACAGCAGGCGGAACACCGACGGCAAAAACAAGACGAGGCCATTCGTGCCAACACGAGAAGAGAAGGCCATGTATTTGGGACAAGGATGAGGGGAGAGGCTTATCACAGGTAGCGTTAGTATAATGTTTCTGCACTCGCACTGGTCGCCGGTCAACAGTCCTCTTTTCGTTGACGCTGCATCCGTGCGCGCGCCTTGTCTTTCCCGCCCCCTCAACATTTTTTTTTTTCAGCGAGCGGAGTTCACGCGGCACGGCCGCCGGTTGTCCGTCGAGGCCGCGCGCCGAGCCTGGTCAATGACCTTGGAGGAGCGGCGCCGTGATCACGATCCCGGGCCGTGGAGTCCGCTGGCGCGCCAACATCAGCCGCGCCCGGCGCGCCGAAATAGTGGCTGGCAGTGGTCCACCGGAACGCTGCTGGAGCCCGTTCCAGGCGTCCGCGCGGTCACGGCCGGCCGCCCCGGAGCGAGACCGTGACCGTGATAGGGAGGGGGAGGGGGTACCGTCGCGGGCCGGGGGAGGGTCCGTGAGGGGGACGCTGGCCGGGCGTCCGAGGAGGATCCATCGCCGGGGAGGAGATCCGAGGAGAGCACCGGCCAGCTTGAACGTCTAACCCACGCAGCATAGATATTTCTGTACATCTGGCACGCCACCTCTGGCTTCGACTTCGAGACAACACTCTGCTCCAGCCAATCTCCGGCTGGGACTGGCCCGCTACACCCCCCCCCCCCCCCCCGCCGTGCCGAACTGAGCCGAACGCGGCCGCTTTGCCAATGAGCCGTCCGTGCAGTGAGTTGCGTATCTGGCTATTTTCGACCCTCCCTATCCCCTCATAACGCACTGGTTACGCTGCGTTAAGCGTGACGTCCAGAGGGTAAAGTTCGCTTGGCCCCTAAATGGGATACGAAACAAACAACGGCGCGTCCCACGTCACGCTTTAAAGTTGTAATTGTCTTCAAAGATTTCAGCGCGATTGGCAACCATACCTGAGCGCAACGTCACGCTGTCCAAGACTTCCCTCCATGCCACGTGGCACTTCCGTTCCACTTATCACAGCCTCCCTCCCCCTCCATGCGCAGCGTAATTTGTGGACGGCCCCGGCGTGGCGTTGCTGGGGCGGGCGGCCGACGCCGGAGCGGCAGGTGGGCGGTTTCGTCACCCAGCATGGCAACTCCCCATCGCTGTCGTCCGTTACCGGAGCTCGGTCCGGCCGGCTGGCGGCCGACCGTCCCCCGCCGATCCCATCGCTATCGTCCGTTGCTGGAGCTCGGTCCGGCCGGCTGGCGGCCGACCGTCCCCTGTCGATCCCATCGCTATCGTCCGTTACCGGAGCTTCAAGCTGCGTGACTGTACGGCAGCTTGACGCCGCTCAGACGGCATCAACAGGCTGGATCGCAGCGACAAAAAAAAACGGCGAAATAAAAATACACGCAGACGTCGGGTGGCCTTGGCTGACCGGGCGCACCTAACCAGAACTCTGGTGTACATGTGCTTGTCAGAGGTGCCTGTCACGGCAAGTCACGTGACAAGGCCGGGCCGTGCAGAGTCGGTGCCTGCCGTCCCTGGTGCCATGACCAACGGAGAACGAGTCGGTGCACACCCGTGACTCAGCCGATCAGCTCCGCTCGAGACCGACTGACGAAAGAGCCCGCCCGGCCGGTCGGCTGCGCCAGGCAGCGCCCTGGCTGGCGCCCAGAGCCACAGCCATGTCGCTCCGGTCCTTCGAGGAAGCGCCCGTCCAGCGATCGCGGCGAACTTGGCCAATCTGACAGGCCAGCCGCAGCGGCGCGGCGCCGGGTCAGCTTCGCGCAATCCACAGGGTGGGCTCACGCGAACGGTACCCGGCGCAGCGTCCACCGGAGCTTCCTCAGTCCTCCCGCAGCTGACCGGAGCCTCCGCAGTCCGCCCGGAACCTGCCCGGAGCTGACCGGAGCCTCCGCAGTCCGCCCGGAGCCGACCGGAGCCTGACCGGGTGGCACGGGCAACGTGTCTCGCGGTTGGTGAAGACGTCATCAGCCGGTCTCGCGGTTTGTTGGCCGCCGTTCTGCCCGTCCAGCCAACTCCAACGGTCAGAGCCGGGGACTTGCTCACTGCCCCCCCCCCCCCCCCCCCCCCCAGGGCGAACAAAGGCGAGAACAGACCCATAACGGCCGAACAAAGAGACGGCCTGACCTGCCGCTGACGCCGGCCGGCCGAGGCCAGCTTTCGCGGTGCAGTTTCCATGCCGATTGCCTGCGGCCGCGCTGGCTGCGGTACTGCCCGCTGCAACCAGCCTTGATAAGGCGACCAACGCTGGACGGAGTCAGGTGCGGCGTTCGCAAGACCTGCCTCCGACCGACACTGGACGGAGTCAGGTGCGGCGTTCGCAAGACCTGCCTCTGACCGACCCTGGACGGAGTCAGGTGCGGCGTTCGCAACACCTGCCTCCGACCGCGCTGAACGGAGTCAGGTGCGGCGTTCGCAACACCTGCCTCCGACCGACGTCCTAACACCCAGAGCTGCCCGGTCAGCGAGCCATCCTTGCCACCCAGCAGTCGGAGGCTGTCAGGAGTGAGCCAGCCGCGTCCGCGCGCGTCCGGAAGGGTCCTGACGTGTCCGACGGGGAGGGGGGCAGTTCCTGTCCTGACGTGTCCGGCGGGGGGCGGGGGGGGCAGCTCCTGTCCTGACGTGTCCGGCGGGGCGGGGGGGGGGGGGCAGCTCCTGTCCCGACGTGTCCAACGGCGGAGCGGTCGAGCCCGGGCCGTGAGCCGGCCGTGCGCGGACGTACCGGCGGCGGCTGGAGCGCGGCCTGCAGGCTGTCCGTGTCCACGTTCACCATCAGCGTGCAGTGGTGGTAGGCGCTGTCGCGGGTCAGCTTGGCCGCCGTGCCGGAGATCTGCCGGACACACACAGGAGTTCAGCGGGGCCGCATCGCGCCGGCGCGAGCCACCACAGCAGGCGACCACACGGCGTCAGGCGCACAGAGCACAAGACGCGGCAGGAAGTGCATGATCAACGTGGGAAAAGCTGGAACATGGGCTGGCAGTCACGAAAAATATGGTTTGTCAACGATGTGAGAGCGTCATTTACAATAACAAACGGCCGGTGTCTAAACAGGATCCAGCTAATACAGCCGGCCAACTCGTTAAAATTCTACGCTGGCTTATACTCAAAGCACGACACAGTCAGCCAGTTAAGGCGCATCAGAACCACACCAAAAAACGGAGCCGTTGCTAAACACTATGTCGGCGAAGATCCTCCGCCACAGCTTTCACGTCCTGCGGCTCCCGCAGCCCTGTGTGCACAGTTCACTGAGCACGGGCGTCACTTCCAGGCCGCAGTATAATGAGGTCGCGATCAACCGCTTCTGCGCCGCCATTTACATCGCGGGTGACGTCATAACCAACAAAAACAGCGAGGCCAGCGGCAGCTGAGGCGCAGTAGCCGTCGGCCGCCCGACGCCACACCTGCCGTTCACCGCGGGAGGGGGAGGGGGAGGGGGAGGCGATCGCCATGCTTCAATGTAACTGCAGAGGGCACCCCGTCCATCGGTCCAACCAACGGCAGTGGGCAGTGGGCAGTGTTGTCAGAGGGCAGTGTCACGAAGGCAGGACTCAGGTGTGGCGGCGGAGGCCATGGTCCTCCACACGGAGGCTTGCGGCAACGAGGCTCACGCCATTCTAGGTGTCCGGCCTCAGTGCATCAGCTCAAGCTCAGGGCATCACTTTGTCATCCCCTCCCCGAGCACGAGACGGTCCTCCCTTGCGTCAAAGCCTGACAACGCTCCTGACGGAAGCCCGTCCGCGGCGGCCATTACAGCGCCACGCCACGCTGTCCCGGCACGGGCGTATACTGCGAAGACAGATTGACGACTTGACGCCAAGTTAACAAACGAGTGGTTCATTTCATATGCCCGGCGGGAGAGAATTCCACGTGTCACTGAAATTTGCAGTCAGGCGACTGTGTTTTCATTGCAGAACCGGACTGATAACATACCTGCACGAACTACAGGAATTGTGAATACAGCGTTCCCCCAGTCATTCCACGAAGAGTTTGGTCGCCAGCGGCACGTCATTCCACGAAGAGTTTGGTCGCCAGCAGTACAGCCATCTGTTTTCCTATTTAATCTTTTTCAGAGCCCTGCCTTGAAACCACGTTACTGACACCAAGTGATCCCCAATGGCCGAGCAAGCGCCAGGGCCCCTCCCGACAGCTGTGACTTGTCCTGGGACGGCACCGCCCGCCGCATCGGCAGGCGAGGTGTCCGCCGTAGGCCGGAGCCAGGCCAGGGCGCACACCGGCACACCGGTCACAGCCGGGCTGTGGGCGAGCAACGAGCACTTGTTGTGCCTTCAGCGCTCGTCTCAGGCTGTGCTTGAGATCCGTGCAAGGGCGATCTTTTGAGTTCGCTGAGGACTGTCTCGAGCTTCAGTCGGCTCGCCACTGCGATCAAGGTTTTCCGTTGATGCATGGAAACACCCGACGTTACACCATTCACCTCCTAGTCGTAACTTCTCGGAACGTCAGCCTGGCCGCAGCACCCTGCCCTGGCCGCCAGTCATGAGCCGCCACCATGGCCACCCTGGCATAAACGCCGCTCGCGCGCCCCCACAGAGTGCGACAGAGGGGTCCCTGCGCAGAGTCAGGCTCAGCAGCTGGGATCCCTCAGACGGCCACAGTATTGTCCTCTATCCTTAACCACATAGCTCTGAAAACGCCATGCTGACCAAAAATAATAATAAAACCAGACCATACACAACCACAGTAATCGGCTATCACACCTATGTATCAATTTGCCGCGAGGGAAATGGGCGCTACATCATTTAGTTCCGCGTCGTAGCCAGCCCGTCAGACTGCATTCAGCACGGGGAGACTCTCGCTGCCAAACTACGCCACGCCCTCATTCAAACGAATGAAATAATGAAATACAGGGGACAGCCGTGCCTTTAAGCTCGCGGTGACCACGGATGATCCTCACTAGCCGAGCACGAGGAGCTCAAAACAGCGCGTGGGCGGGGCGCAGTCTGCTGTCGCGTGCGGCGTCTGGCCGGGTCCAGACTGGACGGGCGGTCAGACCCGTCGTTAGTGCGGGCCGCCGCGTGGACCGCGCGCCGCGCCGAGGACAGCTCAGACGGACTGAGCCGGCGGCGCCGGCGGCGGTAGCGGAGGCGGAGATCTGGACGGGGCCGGAGCGCCAGGTGGCGCCAGGGCGAGCTCGCCTCCCACAGGGGAGGTCGGCGGGGACAACAGCGCCACACGGCGCCGCCGCAGCCCGCCGGGGCCCTGTCAGTCGCAAACAGTCTGCAGCCGGACCGGCACGTACGAGACCGGTCGTCTGTCGCCCACCAAACTGACGAGAGACACTCAGCCATTCGAGCGGCGGAGTCTCCGCTGCTGACCGGCTCTCAAACACGCACCGCGGGCGGGCGGCGACAACGAAGAACGGGGCGTAGCAGGCCAGTCTCCGACTCTGGCAGCGGGCCAGCTCGGCGCCACAGGGCCTGGAGCGTGATGTTCCGTCGCGTCGCGGGACGGCGCCGGTCAGCGCCAGAGTTAATGCGGACGGACCAAGCGTTGGCCGTCACCAGTTCCCGGTCAGCAAGCGTGACGTCAGACATGACGTCAGCAGGCCAGTTTCACCCGCGCTCGGGTCACAGACTCCATATGGAGAGTGGATTGGGCCGCCGACGGTGCGGCGTTTACTCTGACACTTATTTTAACACTGCGGATGCCCGCAAACACGCTGATAGAATACCAGTCACCCTAAAACGCTGCCAACGTCCTGTCCTCCAAGAGGAGGGAAGGGCAGCTCCACCCGGACAGCAGCATTGCATCGTCCGCCCGGAGAGGCGGCCTGACGGGACATCCCACCGCTCCTGGCGCCGGGAGGCGAGCGATCTCGGCGGCCAGACCTCGACCGGCCCGGCCGCCCTGGCAGCCGCCCTGATCACGCGCCGGCCGCGTGCAGTGTCAGTCGGCGGCCGCAGCCACTGTTGCCACCCGGCCGCACCTGACCTCGCCCTCCGACGCCACCCATGCACGCGCGCACCGGCCTCGGTGTGTTGTGACGGGCCCGTGCCGTCACTCTGGTCGGGCCGAAGCGCTTCGCGAAGCAGACCTCCCAGAACAGTAGCCACCCAGGCAGACGTCAACGTCATGCAGCGGAGGCCCTCGGGAACCATCGCCAGTCCGGTCGGCGCCGGTGCAGGGCCGGACAACTCACAGGCCCCGCCTGTGACGCGCCCCTTGTGTTGAACGCCAGCCTGGCCTTGAACGGCGTTCGGACCGAAACAGAGGCACACAACTGCAACTCGGTGCGCCGCTGCGCCGGGCCCGATGCGCGGCCCGCGGACGACAGTTCACACGGAAGTTGGTGCTTAACCACCGCTGTATCTAGCATCAGTCGATTAGAGCTCGCGTTCCCCGGCGCATTGTGTTCCCGAACCAATGACCCGAGGTACGTTGCCGCTCTGGGCGCGTCGCTGACGCCGCCCCTGCTTGCAGCCAGCGGTAACAGAGCGGCCGACGGCGTCCTTCGGACGGCGGCAACGAACCGAGCTCTGCGCGGCCGGCCGGAGGAAGCGCCACTCGGCAAGGAGGAGACGGCATAGATTTCACACCGAGAGGACCGGAACAGCGCACTACCAAAGGACAGACGACGAGCCGAAGGCTGCAGAGCGGAGGTGACCAACCGGGGCAGGTGGGCGGCGGGGGAGCGGGGGAGCGGACAAGCGGTGCTCGCCAGTCAGCGACGGCGCTCCGCCGGCCGCTGGCCGCCTGCCCGGGCCGCGGGCCTGAGTCCGCCTCTGCGCCCTCGGCGTCGGCACCCGGCCGCTTTCCCGGCCGCGGTGCGTGCGGGCCGGGAGCCGCCAGCTGGCCGGTTCAGACACTCAGCTCGCAGCCCCTACGCGTGGACGGCGCAGCGATGCCGGCCGGGCTGAGCCATCAGCTCCGGATGCCAATGTGTGGGCAGACTGGGCGGCCGGCCGCCGGCCACCGTCTCGCGCCGCGGAGGCCGTGCGGCTCCTCGGGCCCGGAGATGTTGGGCAGGTCAGGTCCTCTGTCAGATGGGAAGGCAAGGGGACCGCAAGGTGGTGAAGCTCCCCCCCCCCCTCCCCTGTTCTTCCCACGGAAGAGCCAGTCACCTTTGATCAGGGAGGAGAGCCACCAGCGCCTTTAGTACGCGTCATTGAGGCTTTAAGAAGCACTTAGCTGCTGCGCCAATGTGGCGTCGCCCGCCTTTCACCCTGGCAGGAAGGGCGGGCATCGCCCGGAATCCACCCCCTTACCTCTGGTTTCCCAGACGCCGCATTCAGTACAGCCAAATGTTCTGTTGGCGTTTCCTGGTACTCAATTCACATCGGCTGACAACATGTAACAATGCATTCCGCCTGTTCGGTGGCCACCCTCCACCGCGGCAGCGTGATACAGGGACATCGGCTCTCTGACGCCTTGTCCGACGCCTCGCCCTCACACCTCCCGATGTCGCTGACGCTGACTACAGGAGCGCACACCGCTGCCGCCCGGCCGCCCGGTTGGGCGCCAAGCACGCACAAGGAAACGACCTTGAGCACGCACTGTCCTGAGAAGTGCGCACACGCATCAACCGCTGGCAACCGGTTTCGGCCCCGCAATTTCCTGGACGGCTCACGGCCGACGCATCGGATCCGGGAATGGTCATCATGCAGCCCTGCAGATCAGGAAGGCCCTGGTCATCATGCAGCCCTGCAGACCCGGAAGGCTCTGGTCATCATGCAGCCCTGCAGACCCGGAAGGCTCTGGTCATCATGCAGCCCTGCAGACCCGGAAGGCTCTGGTCATCATGCAGCCCTGCAGACCCGGAAGGCTCTGGTCATCATGCAGCCCTGCAGACCCGGAACGCTCGGCGACGCAAGCCTCCACCGTGTTCAGGAGGCGTCCGTACCAGGCAGGCAGGCCAAGGCCGTGATGCGGACCCTCCCGCGCGCCCACATCGAGCCTCGCCCAGGCGTCTGCGGCGCTTGCTACTGACCTTGTACACGTTGTCCAGCAGGATGTCGTCGCGGCCGCTGACACTGATGTCGAAGCCCCAGCCCTGGCGGAGCGCCTCGGCCACCAGGGCCAGGTTGGCGCCGCGGTCGTACTGCTCCCGGCTGGTGAAGAACGTCAGGTTGAGGTTGCCCATGTCGTGGTAGACGGTGCCGCCGCCGCTGTTGCGGCGCGCCAGCGGCAACGAGGCGGCGCGCAGGTACTCGGTGTTGACCTCGCGCCACGGGTTCTGGTGGCGGCCGACCACCACGCATGGCGAGTTACGCCACACCATCAGCACGTTGTGCCGGCCGAACCGGAAGTTCTTGTAGAGCCAGTCCTCCAGCGCCAGGTTGGTGAAGACGTTGTTGGACTGGGAGAGGAACACGGAGAGCGCCTCGGGCGGCGGGCCGGTGGTCAGCGCGCGCCGGCCCAGCCGGATGGCAGGCGCGCCCAACACGCGGCGCACGCTCAGTAGGGAGGACATGATCCGAGACGGAGCGACGGTCGTGGAGAGCTCAAGCTTAGCAACGAAAGACTGCCGTCTTATTCTAGACTTATGCTAGGTTTGCCAAAACGCAAACAATTTGTTGAGGCAGGTGGAGGTCTGGTTCAGTACTTCAATCCGTCAAAGGACATGTAAACAAGGTAGGAATGGAGGGCCACTGTTAGGTGAAGCCACTTGAATGTCTGATGGAGGCCGTTCAGCTCCCTGTGGATGCCTGAAAAGTGTAAACAGTGGCATTACGATGGATGAAAATACACCAAAATGATGCGTTACTCGGCTTTACTAAATCACAACTGTTTTAAGATTTGGAAAACTCTCATTCTCATGCAGTAATGGCAAAACCACTACGCAGTATGCCTAAGCTTGATGGCAACAATTGTTGAAACAAAAACATGTAGTGAATACGTTTTTCAAGATGCGAACTGCTAAGCAACCACCGGGTATTTAGGACAGGCAGTGTTGTAATTAGGCAGTACGCATACACTCTCCAAATTGGAGGATGGTTACGCACTGGGCTTAGACACCCTCCAAGACAGAGGGCGGGTACGCACCTGGCTTATACACCCTCCAAAATGGAGCAAGACTACGCACGAGGCCTTTACAGTGATACACCCTAAAAATCTCCAGATTACGATTTCCGATTAAAAAAATATCCGATTCAAAATCTCCACCCCAAAAATCTCCACTGTTCAAAAAATTCTAAACTACACAATTTATTCACTGAAATAATAAAAAGCTAGAGTTGTGAGTAAAAGAAAGCAGGTAATATTGGCTATAAACACGAGGCGGTCATCAAATTGTCCCCATCTACTTCAAACCAATTTTCTGTGTTTCTGCACTGTACAGAATTGAACCCGAGGGTGCCCTGGCCGGGTGATTACTGCATCTGGCTCTCACGCAGTAAGCCCGGGTTCTAATCCCGGTGGCGGTACGGTCTCAGAACGGTGATGTGATCAATGCGGACGCCCTCATCCCATGACATCTGAATGGTGACATAAGTAATGGCCATATCACACCTGTCTGAAAAGGAAAAAAGCTGAAGTCCATAGCACTGGACAGTGGCGCAGATTTCTGTCATTGAAGACCCCCATCCCCCTTTATTTGGGCTCCTCCAAGAAAGTAGACCAAAGTCGAGGAGGAACTGGCTTGTTAGCGCAGATTTGGGGGGGGGGGGGACATTCTTGTTCCTTCCACTTTTTGAACCTCCCCAAACTCAGTTTGCCCTCGATACCGGAATGTCGTCAGAGAAAGTGACTGATTCCAGGCCTGAAGTGCCATTCAGGTGACCACGAAGAAACCTCAAATGGGAGCACCGTAAATCCGATTTGAGGACCCGAAGGCTGAAGTGAGAGAAGGCTGGCTGGAGGTCATTAAAGGGGCGCGAATCGGACCCTCAAATATCAGTCAGGAGGCTCGTCGCACCGACTGGGTCCCGTGGGACGATGAGAGCCTCTATGTCGCTAAGCCTCTACCAACACTGAACAGTCGGCTCAGTGTCGGTCTGGGTCTGGGAGCTTATTTCCCCAGCAGGGACAAGGCCAGGACCCGCAATTTTGATTGGCCCGTGCACCCTGGGTCAATGAGGTCCCCTGTGTCGGCCAGGGGCCCACAGCGCCTAACCGGAGGTCCGGTGTTGAAACGGGCTCCCGATTCGGTCCTGGAGAATGTTCGAGGGTGCTCAAAGAGGAACCGATGTGCGTTTCAGAACTGACGATCAACGGCCCGATGGAAAGGCTGAAGGGTCGTAAGGGTCGAAAGTCTGCAGGTCATCCCGGCCCGTATGGCTGTGATGCCAAATGACAGTCAATATGCCTATTTCACCGACTGTGGACCCCTGTGAACAATACGGGCCCTTATTCCGGCCAGAGATCACTTCACCGTTTAGTTGACTCAGTGTTGTTCTGAGCCCTGGGGCCTCCATTTCCTTAACAGGAACGAGGTCGAGGCCCGCGATTTGCATTGGTCAGAGTCCCTACAACGATGCGTGGCCTTTTCACGGTGAGGCACCCAGAGTGCCCAACATGGGGTCCCTGTGACGCAAGGAGTCCAGAGTCGGACAGAGGTGACCCGGGGCCCTTGCGGGGCCCTTCACCCAGTTTCAGCCAAGGGCCCGTCTGCCAAACATGGGTCTCCGTGCCAGTTATTGGACCATCTGCGGTTATCAGGGATCTTGTTGCACTAATGAGGGCTGTTGCGCCTATCCCGGGCCAAATGCCCCGGCCAGAGGGTCTTCCACGCCAGGGAAGGCACCAATGTAGGATGCAATCTGTGAGGGCCTCCGGGAGAACCCACCAGACGAACCCGTCTCCATGTCGCCAAAATAGCAACCTGCCGACACCCCGCGCTAGGACGGAATGACCTTTAAGCGATCGACCGAAACAGAAATGTGCACCGAACTTTTCACTAATTGATTCTGATTTACGGTTCAACATTCTCAGGTGAAATAGGACTGCCTATGTTGCACAAGTTGCTGGCCTCATTTATATTTACGGCCAACGTTCACAGGATTCTCACTATCTCTATTGAGTGTGGACTTCGGCATTATAAACTGCGCTGCTGTCCGATATAAAAAGCCCAAGTTAGCATGTACTGCGTTTAAAAGTGAAGCAAGCGTCATCATCCCACGCCGATACATCATAGTCACCCACTAAACAGCTGCTACCGTCGGGATACCAACTCGGATCTGCAGCGTGTGAAACCGGGGCGCTAACCACCCAGCCATCGTGGATCTGGACCCTGCGGCTGATAATTTATGACCAGAGAAGAACTGGCTCAGCGTGGGTTGATGAATTTCACGACCGTCTGACGCATATAATACACTGAGCTGAGTTTTCGCACGGGATTCTGCATACTCGCCTCTGCTTGAGTTAAAGACCAGCAGTCCGTGTATGCTGGCGCGTGCAACCCTCTGAAAGCTTTTTGGAGGGTGTGTGAGCCCAGTGTGGAGCCACCCTCCATTTAGGAGTGTGTATAAGCCAGGTGCACAACCGCCCTCCGTTTTGGAGGGTGTACACATGCAGCCTTGCAATTTAGGTATGGTGTACTTACGCAAACAATCACAGAACCACGGATATTGCTGGTAAGACCTGCTCCACATCTGCAGGTAAGCCAGTACTTGATGAACTACAAAACAACCTGAAAAGACAGCAGCTTAATTAATTCATGTCATGGTATACATTGGAACCTGATATTGCAAAATTAAATTGTTCACCAATTGTATTTTATGATATGACACCATAAATAATCATAAAACAGGAACATTTCATGGCCAAAATACCACCTTACTCTCTTTATCACAATTACAGCAACTGCAGGGGTTGGTTAAATGCCAGTATGTCACACTGATGGCACTGATCTTAATAGGACATGGGTGGAAGGAGAGTGAGTGGGGAGGTTTGTCAGGTAGCAATGCTATGGTTGGGTTGAGTTAGGTAAGGTTAGGTTATGTAAGGTTAAGTTAGGCTAGGTTAGGTTAGGTTGTTAGGCTAGGTTAGGTTATGTGAGGTTAGGCTATTTATAGGTTAGGTTAGGTTACATTAGGTCAGGTTAGGTCAGGTTACATTATGTTAAGTTATGTTAGGCTAGGTCAGGTTTGTCAGCAATGCAAGATTCCAGCCTTTTTGAATACTTTCTTCATAAGACCGCATTCTCAGAAGAATCACATGCTATGTCCTAGCAATCTCTGGAGCACTCAGGCATTCACCATTGTAAATATTAAAGTTTGAAGGTAAGAGTGTAAATGTAGCCGTTTTATGATTATATATTATATTTGCTATCTTATAGAACACAAATGATGTACAATGCTACTTTGTAAATAAGGTACCAATGTCAACCTACACCACAAATCAGTCGTATTATGCGCCCAAGTTTAATTCGCACGCCACGCCATTGTTGCCTAAGAGGCAACACAAAAATGGCAGGGGAATGCCAAACGTGCACGTACCAACAATTCCACGAAGATTCGAACGTCAATTGATCTCATCAAGCGAAGAGAAGAAAAACTCCGAAGCGCTCCGACGGCGTAGCCCAACACGGAGCACCTCGAAATGAAACTGGCGACCCAGTCCCCAGTTTTCTATGACGCGCATCTACAAAATTACCTACTAAACAGCTGTCGAAAAATAAATCTGAAATATACACGGAAATGAGTGCAGATTCAAATAAAATAGTACTCCCTAACAAGAAAGAATTTGCTATAACTCTTATACCTTGTCTTTATCTTGCTAACTTTTTTCCCAGCTGAAGATGAAATTGATGTAAAACGTACATAAAATGTTCATGACGTCATAATGTACTGACGAAAGGATCAAAGTAGCACAACTTTGGAGTATTCGCTAGATATTTTTATTCTAAATATTCGTTGGACACAATCATCTCCACTCATGCATATCCCTTTTTTGACGCCGGGTGGGTAGACCCACGGGTGTCGATTCGTATTCTTTTATCAGGGCCCTGGCCTCCCGATGTTGAGTTGGGCCCCCCAATGTTGACTTGGCCCCAATGTTTTTGGCTGGAGCACTACAAAAAAACGTGGGTAAAAGATGATCATAACACAAAAACTGTCTTCTTTGATATTTCTGCGCAGTGGCATCTCGTACCGCTCTCATAACAAAGTCATGCCTACTCTCAACACAAGGCAAAATCGTAACAGCTGAGCGAATGAACGATGCAATAAACTTCACCTACCTAGCGCCATAAGGCACGCGATGGCTTGTGAGGTTCACGTGAAAAATCTAGAATATGGGGACAACCTGAGTCCTTCTTGGCTAGCCCCATCCCCGCTCCCCACAACCGAAATGCGTGCTGCCTCCCATGACCGTCATAAAAGAGCGCCACCGGCGCCCTAAAGTGGCCTCTAAAGGGACGCCTTCACATGCCGATCAGAAGGAACGCATGCGCCCAGCGCCTGCTCCCTGGGTCCATCCCTGCATGGCTTTTATACTGTTTAAATTAAAGACTTTTTGAATTATACAAACATTAAAAACATATATAACGTTCGATCAAAATAAAATGGGGTGAGTCCGGTGAAATACAATGGGGGTTGATTGTCGGTTGTTTGGCTCATCCCTCTCCCCCAATAATTTACAAAAATTTGCACCCCTGGCTAGACCTAAAGGTGTTTGGCTCGTGTTTCGGCGTCCCCTTCCATCAGCTGTCTAATAAGTGCGTTCCAGTTCGTGTAATAGTTTTCCTCAAAGTTGAATGCCTCGCCACACTGGGATCCGTCCGGCCATACGGTCGAAGAGGTGGTCGCGGGGGTAGCTTGAAGCGCATGATTCACGACCTTGTGGCCTCTGATTCACCGGGTACGGATCCTGCACGGTAGCTGGGATTTTGGGGAGCGGCGGTGGGAGTGCGCTTGCAGTGATAAGGGCGGTGGTGACTTATTAGGTAGGTGGTGTCGGTGTGGTTCGTTTTTACCTTCTTTGTGTCTCTGTGAGAACGATTCAACCGGAACCCGTTTCGGCGATCAAATTCAACCTTTTTTGCTAAGTAGTGCCCGCAGGGATCTTGGGGTTTTGCTAGGAAGATAGGTTGGCGTGGTTACATACAAATCATAGTGTATACACCTGTGATCTCTACTTGCTTGCCTATCAACATTCTGGGGCTGCTTATCCCTACATGCCATGAATTTCATTGACCATGGTTACAGTCTGAAACATGTCTTATCAAGATAGCCAATGCTTGCCTGATAGTGTAGGTTTACCATTATCTCTTTGTACATTGAAGGTCGATTATGAGCCCATAATAATTCCCAACTCATGTAACTGGAAATTTTGATTCACAAGCAATATAAATTACCTTAGATATGATGCATGCCTCTGCAAAGCCACTATATGCATCAAGATACAGACAATGGCTGGCAAGGATGCTGGTGGGGGATTGGCTGACATGTCTGTGTTAACTGCTGTGTGTTTGGGAAACCAGACATACAGGGCTTAAACCCTTGGTGTCTGCCCTTCCTGTCAGAGTGAGAGGCAGGTGGTGCCATATAGCCTCAACAGCTGAGTGTGTCATTGTCCCAATGGCAACAAGATGAATGACACTGCTGGTTTTTCACAAACTTGAAAGGTATTAAAACACATTGCTTGTTCAGTCATCATCGTTCTGTAGTAAGGTGAAAGATGATCACTGGTGTGTCGTAAACTCTGAGCTGCCCTCAGTATGTTATACTATGTTGTAAATGATAGCTTTGCTTATTCCTTTTACATCATATTTGCATATAATTGTCAAGACCATAAGCAATTTATACCAACACAAAATTTCAGCATTATTGAATGTGTGAATGAATATGTGAAATAGCTGTGACTTTTCTTGATTATTTCATTCAGCTTTGAAAATATTTTGTGAATATATTGATAGATAATTGAAACTAGACCATTTTGAAATAAAATATCTGTATAGGAGTCCAGGGATAGATCCAGGATTTCTGCAAGAGGGGCATGTAACATGGTGCCCCCTGGAATTTGGGGCCCTGACAAAAAATATCCTTACATTCTGGCCATGAAATTTTAAGATAAGTGTTAAATAGTGTATGTATATACACATGTATACATATATATATATATATATATATATATATATATATATATATATATATATGTATTTATATAGTAAATATGGGAACCCATTGACTGTGCTAAAGCTGAACATGTTATGCATGCACATACATGGAGCTCATTCATTTTCTCAAGATGACATTAAATCCTGTGATTTTTAGGCTAAATAATTCAGAAAAACAGGCAAAATTCATTCAAGTTTGCTGCTAGATGGCATGAAAACTAAGCGCAGACTTAATTCCTAGCTCATTTATGGCTAACCAGCTGGGCATTGTAATCAGCTGGGGGCTGATGACTAATGTGTAATTTTGTATTTGTTATAAACAAGTACAAAATATTCAAGCATTCAAAATATGTTAAGAACATCGCACACAAACCTGATAGCTGTCGCACACTCAATCCCCGAAGGAAATGACATGTGACGTCGGAGGCATGTAAAATTACCTTCGACAAATGCGCGTTAAAATTCATCGGCGCATACACGACTGCTGCCCTGAGGTTAAGGCGCCAGGGCTGACAGGGATGGAAGCTGGCTGATCATGGGTGCCCCACGAGGTTTACAAAGAGGCTCCCGTCAACAAGTATAGGGTCCTCGGGGCGGGTGAAAAGAACCCAAGACTGACGTGGTGGGCCCCAAAACGATCGGTAGTGCCCTGGCAGGCTGACGCATAAGGCCCCGGCCAGAGCACAGGACCCTCTGAGGGGAATTAAGCAAGACCTGTGAATTGATGCCGCCGTGCGATCGAAAGTGACCGGGCAGGTTAAAGGAAAGAGTCCGATGGAAGTGAAGAGTGCCTCTGCAAATGAGATCAAAGGAAAAGAGCCTCTGATCAAAGTAGAGGGGCCCTAAGCATTGATTGTCCCTGTGCCTTACCTTATATGACTCCAGCAACAGCACAAGGCCCTCCGAAGAAGTCGAAAAACCCGAGACTAATATCAAGTGCCCTTGAGCAACTGATTGTACCCCGGCATATGGGGCCGTGGAAAAGGCATTTAGAGCTTTTCGGGCGAATGAGAAGAATCGGTGGAGGGCCCCGATCGATCAAGAGTGCCCAGGCAGGGAAGCAGATAGTGGCCCAACAGCAGCGTTATGATCATCTACCAGAAAAATGGAAAAATAATAAGAGATCCAGGTTAGCGTGGAAGGCTTCAGGAAGGCAATGAAATCGACCAGGCATGCGGACATATATGGCCCGGGCAACAGCGTAAGGCCTCTGAAAAGTGCAATGACCCCCACAATTTCCCTGAATCACCACCCTTTAATCAGCAAAGATTTAGATTTGCTTACCTACAAACTTCCTTACTTTTCGTATGCAACCGCTCTATGTCGTCTGTAGGCCCAAACACGTCCAGTTTTGTTGCATTTTTATTAGGAACTGTGTCCGATCAGCCAGTTATCGGCCACTTCGAAACCTATCGGTCCCCCCGTCATGGTCCATGGGGCATGGTCCAAAACTCCCCCCCCCCCCTTCCCTCTGTACTCGCCAACGGTCCGAGCAGCTTAATAGATGGGGCCCGGCGAGAGCATGGGGGCATCCTTTCAAATAAGAGGTACTCAAGACAGCATGAAGGGCCCCGGAGTGAGCTGAGTGTGCTAGAGCAGGTTAATAGGCAATAGTGTAGGGTCTTCCATTCAAGTTTGAAATTCCCACTGTACAATAAAGAGGGCCCCGGAATGATCGAGTGCACCACAGCAGGTTAACAGATGGAGCCCCATCAGGAGCGCAGGGCCCTCCATTCAATTAAGAAGCACCCAAACCCAATGTGAATGGCCCCCGAACGGTTGAATGTGCACGAGCAGCTTACCAGAAAAGGGCTCGACAAGCGCGTAGGGCCCGTCATTCAAATAAGAGGTACTCAAAACCTAGTGCGGAGAGCCTCCGAAAGATGGAGTGCGCTCGAGCAGATTGTCAGATGACTCCCAACGGGAACGTATGGCTCTAAATTCAAACACCAAGAGCTAATTACAGTGTCTCGAACAATCCAGTGTAACCGAGGAGGCGAGCAGAGGGGGCCCCAACAAGTGCGTAGGGTCCTCAATTTAAATAGGAAGCGCCCATGATATAATGTGGGGGGCTCCTGAACAATCGAGTGTGCCCAACAGGTTAACAGATAGGGCCCTGATAAGACTGTGGAGCCCCATTCAAATAAGAAGTACCTGAGACCCAGTGTGGAGGGCCCGCAAAGGATCGAGTGTATCCCACCACGCTATAAGATGGCCCCCGACAGGAGCGTAGGGCCCTGCATTAAAATACCCAATGTGCAGGGCTCCCAAACAATCTAGCGTGCCAGAGCAGGTTAATAGATAGGACTCTGATAAGTGGGTAGGGCCCTCCATTAAAAAAGAAAGCACCCAAGACCCAATTTGGTGTGCCCTGAACGACCGATGTGACCAAGGAAATTAGCAGGTGGGCGCCCGACAAGACTGAAGGGCCCTAAGCAAGTCAGAGAATTGGATGCGCCCTAGACTGATGTAGCGGGCCCATGAGCATATCGCGAGTGTGTCATTAGGTTAAGTGCGCCTTAGTAACCGAGAATACCCTGGCAGGTTAACATGTAGCTATAGCGTACAGAGCCTTTCCGGCGAATGGAGAAAATCTGTGGAAGACCTCTGATTGACAAGAGCGCCCCGGCACCCTAGCAGGAAGGGTCCAGCAACAGCGCATGGTCCCCCGAGCAAATACTAAAAAGCAAGGGCAAAGTGGAAGACCTGCTTAACGATCAGAATGGCCCTGCAAGTGAGCATATAGTTCCCCCGGAAACGGCATAGGGGCCCTGGACAGCGTAATGAGGCTTAAAATTGTCAAATAACAGCTTTGCAATAATTTAAGTTTTGTTTCGGTCTTCTCGTGGGACTCTTTACTTTCGCTTGCGGCTGTTTTTGGTCGCCTGCAAGTCCAAGGACGCCCAATTTTGTTGCGTTTTGTGTTTTAAAAATGCACCAGTTGGGCCGGCTACGGGCCCCTTCGGAGCCACTAGGCGCTGGCCCCGTGCCTCCTCCCCCCCCCCCCCCCCCCCATGAACTCAACCCTGTAGGAGTCATTCATGAGCCTTTTGTTCGCAGAAATAGTATAGGTGGTAATGTGTGATGCTAACATGTAGTACGTGTGTACTATTGCATAGTAATGTTTAATCATTTGTGTGAATGCTGCTGTGTTTGCCTTTTGTTGGCATCTCTGGTTAGAAGTTGAGGCAAGATGCTGGTCAGTGGACACTTTTTTATCCTGTGAACGAGTGATATCCCATGGCTCTGTTTGGTACCGTGATAGACCATTATTTTCCATCCTGATTGATGTCCATTTCCAGCTCGCAGCATCTCACACAAGTTGTGCTTGTACATGTGTCTGAGAGTGCTAGAATCGTCACATACCTGGCTGAATTTATTGGCTGGCAGATCTTTGATGTAAAGGCCAGGAGCTTTTTTCAGTATTTTATTCTTGACTGGTGCATTGTATCTGAGCAATTCACTTACAAGTAATAAGTAGTAGTGCCAAATGACAGCCGTGAGTGCTCCTGCAAACATCCATAAGTGTATAATGTATGATGCAGGGACTGTTTGAAATGTGCTTTAACCAGCAGTGCAGCACATCATAACATAATAAAGTTATGTCACTTCAGACTTAATCGTGAAGCCTCCCCCAAAACACAGAAGCTTAAGACATGTTTTCCTGACGCCAAGAACGCTGAGTAAGAAGGCCTGCTTAGCTTGAAAAATGACCTGCTTTGTTCCTTAAAAGACGTGATGCTTGGCTGAACTCGAGCAGATGAAAACCGTGTTCCCCTCAGTCAGCCCAGCCTACCCCGCCGCCACCTCCCTGCAGCGGTGCGGTGGCCCCGCGCCCGCCCGCGCCCCGCCGCTCACCTTGTGGCGTCCAGGCGCCCCTGGCGTCCGGCGGTGGTGCCGCACGTGGACGCCGTGCCGCTCTGGCCGCCGCGCGGCCCGTCGACCGACGCTCACGCCGCGTCGCTGCCGACAGGCTATTTATAGCGTGAGCGGCGGCGCGCGCACGATGGCAGACCAGTTGGCCCCGCTGGTGCGCCGGCTCGAGGCGGTGACGTCACGGTTGGAGCGCTGCTCGCCCGGCGACGGCGGCGCCGCGGCGCCCGGTGAGTGCCGAGCCCGCGCCCCGGCGGCCCCCACGTGCCCTGCGTCATGTCCCTGTTCGGAGCCCCCGGCGAGTTCTCCGCCCAGTTCAGCGGCAAGTACAGCGCAGCCTTGTGTGTGCGGGTGTGTGCGGGCGTGTGTGTGGTTGTCGGTGTGGTGATGCCAGCGTCCGGCAGCGAGGGCTTCGCTCCGCTCTGCGGGTGGTCCTGTGTCTGTGTGGCCGTCCGTGCGCGGACGCGTTGGCTTCCGTGTGCCGGCGCGTGTGCGTGCTGTGGTGTCCGGACCTGCTGTGCCGTGGGGTCCTGCGCTGTGTCTGTGTCGGATCGTCCCTCTGCCCCGGGTGCGCGCCCCCTCCCCTGGCGCCGGTGTGTGGGGCGGTCCCTCGCCGACCCTCCAGCGCTGGCCGTCACCCGTCGGCTGCGCTGGAGCTGGCTGGCTGGCCTCCATAGCCCGCGTCACCCAGGAATGGTGTCGTGTCGGGCCGACAGGAGAGCTATGGGCGTGGGCGAGGGCGTGGCCTTACCTGGGCTGGTGGCTCCTCCGGGTCAGCTGGCGTCCTCTCCGGGGAGATCAGCTGGTGACCGCGGCTGAGTCAGTGCTCTGCTGAGTCACGAGCCCCGCTAGAGACGGCTGATCCTGCACCAGGGCCAGCTGATGTCCTCCGCCGCAACCAGCGCTCTCTCCGCTGCACTCTGCTCTCGTCCTCAGCTGCTCCTCGCCGGTCGTCGCGGTTGGTCCGGCCGAGGGACTCGGCGCCGTCCCGGCTGGGTCCCTCGGTTCGGAGAACAGTGCGGTGTGTGGGCGGCCGGGATGGGCGAGCCTCCAGCTCCCGGGCTGACTCAGGCCGTGTGGCCCGAGAGATTGTTCTCCCCCCTCAGCCGTCCCGAGCCGTGCCCTTTGCCCCTCCCCCCCCCGTCCTCCCCGCGTTGGAGCGATCTGCGGCCGAGAGCATAGGTCAAGTGGGACGCATGATCGCAAATGCCGATATCGTGGTCCGCGGGGCGGAATGCTCGAACCATGTTACCGTTTTCAGGTTTTTTTTCTCGCTGGGCTCGTCGACCAGTTACTCATTTCCAGATGTGCGTGAAGTTTCCATCGTTTGGCCTGACGTCCGGAGTGGGGGGGGGGGGGGGGGGGGGATTAACGCTGAAGCCGTGCTTTGTTTTCCTGCCCTTTCGTCAGGCCTCCCCCACAGGCCAAATGGGGCTGTGCTCCACGCGTGGCATTGCTGTTGCATTAAACGTGGCAGACGATGCATTCTTGATTCGGCTTGTGCGTCAGCCCGCTCCGGCACGTGCTGCGTCGCGTGATGAGCTCACTTCGCCACCTCCGGTCTACCGCGCCTAGCGGACCTCAGGCAATCGCCGGCAGCGTCCTCGGCTGGTATTCGGGTCCTGGTGCGGCCGGTTTAGGCCGGTCTTGCGAGACCGCGCACCTCTCTGACTCAGCGGGTCGGGGCGGCGCGGTGACGCGTCCTGGCCTCGGGTGCGCGGGGGAGGCGGCCGCGTCGGCGGCGCTGGCCGGGCTCCAGTCGATCCGGCGCCGCCACCTGCGCCCTATCGTCACCCGCCTGGAGTCGGCGACGGGCGGCCGGGTGCCGCTGAAGTCGTCTGATGACGCCGCACCGCGGCGCCAGAGGCATGCTTCTCGCCGCCAAGCGCCGTCCAGGAGTCGTCTACGACGTCGCAGTCGGCTGCCTTGGGACGGCGCGTGCCAGTGAGGGGGCGGCGTCCCTGGCGGGGTGTCGGGACTAGGTACAGAGCCGGCGAGAACGCTGCCGCCGGCGCGGCAGGCCGACCCGGCCGGGCCGGCTGGCAGGGCGCCCGGCCATCCAGGTCCCTTCAAGCTGACGAGCCTACCGGCAGGCTCCCAGACCGGCCAGGTGCCGAGGGTTTGCTTATGTCATGGATGGGCGCTTTATTTGCTCAGTGGATTCCGGCCCTCAGCGTCGAATGGTCGGCTATTACCGCAGCAGCCGAGTGCATCGTCCGTCAGCTGTGTGGCTGAGGTGGAGGATGTGTGGGTTCTGTCTCAACTACGGGATTGGCTGTAGACGTCGGCGTGGTGACTGTCAAGGGGGAGTCGTCTTATGGGGCGGGGGGGGGGGGGGGCCTCAACCTAAGACAAAGCAACTTACAGTTCATGATGAACTGAATCTCCAAACGCCTTTTTGTGTTGGTTAAGTGGAACGAATTTCTATGTAGTTTAGTTTTAGCCTGGTGAAATGCGGTAAGTAGATTAGCTGACCAGTTATGGTGCGCTTGATGAGTTCACTTGTACAGTGCCCGGTGTATTGTTTGGTGAGCTGTGGGTGCCCGTGCCGATATCCTGTCAGTACCTCACTCTCATGGCCGGGACGCCCGTGACGGGCTGGGCCGCTGACCCCCGCTTGACGGCGTGCGTTTCCTGTTGGAGGGTTGCCATCAGCCAAGCGCGCCGTCCGCTGGCGTGTATGACAGGGCTGGGGTTCGCGCTGACTCAGACCCGTCTCCAAGGGCAGGCCTCCGCGGCGGTGAATAACGGCGCTGCCTGACGTGGTTCTGCGCTGCCGGCCGGGTCAGTGGAGGGTGCGGGGGAGAGGGGTGAACACAGCGCCGCCTGACGTGGTCCTGCGCTGCCGGCCGGGTCAGTGGAGGGTGCGGGCGGGGGGTGAACACAGCGCCGCCTGACGTGGTCCTGCGCTGCCGGCCGGGTCGGAGTGGGGGGGGCGGGGGGGGGGGGGGAACACAGCGCCGCCTGACGTGGTCCTGCGCTGCTGTCGTCAGTGGAGGGGGGCGGGGGAGAGGGTGAACACAGCGCCGCCTGACGTGGTCCTGCGCTGCCGTCGTCAGTGGAGGGGGGCGGGGGAGAGGGGTGAACACAGCGCCGCCTGACGTGGTCCTGCGCTGGCCGTCGTCAGTGGAGGGGGGCGGGGGAGAGGGGTGAACACAGCGCCGCCTGACGTGGTCCTGCGCTGCCGTCGTCAGTGGAGGGGGGCGGGGAGAGGGGTGAACACAGCGCCGCCTGACGTGGTCCTGCGCTGCCGTCGTCAGTGGAGGGGGGCGGGGGGGGGGTGAAACACGCCGCCTGACGTGGTCCTGCGCTGCCGTCGTCAGTGGAGGGGGGCGGGGGAGAGGGGTGAACACAGCGCCGCCTGACGTGGTCCTGCGCTGCCGGCCGGGTCAGTGGAGGGGGCGGGGAGAGGGGTGAACACAGCGCCGCCTGACGTGGTCCTGCGCTGCCGTCGTCAGTGGAGGGGCGGGGGGGGGGGGGGTGACACAGCGCCTGACGTGGTCCTGCGCTGCCGTCGTCAGTGGAGGGGGCGGGGGAGAGGGGTGAACACAGCGCCGCCTGACGTGGTCCTGCGCTGCCGTCATCAGTGGAGGGGGGCGGGGGAGAGGGGTGAACACAGCGCCGCCTGACGTGGTCCTGCGCTGCCGTCGTCAGTGGAGGGGGGCGGGAGAGGGGTGAACACAGCGCCGCCTGACGTGGTCCTGCGCTGCCGGCCGGGTCAGTGGAGGGGGGCGGGGGAGAGGGGTGAACACAGCGCCGCCTGACGTGGTCCTGCGCCGCCGTCGACAGTGGAGGGGGGCGGGGGAGAGGGGTGAACACAGCGCCGCCTGACGTGGTCCTGCGCTGCCGGCCGGGTCAGTGGAGGGGGGCGGGGGAGAGGGGTGAACACAGCGCCGCCTGACGTGGTCCTGCGCTGCCGGCCGGGTCAGTGGAGCGGCGGCTGGCCGCGGACCGAGCACAGCGTCGCCGCCGATCTGCCTCCGCCAGGCGTCCTCTCCGAGCCCGGTCCAGTGTGCGGGCCCGGACAGTCCCCGTGTGGGACGGACGCGTCCGCTGTCTGAACCCGACGCAGGGAGGCGCCGGCTCTGCCCGGCTGGCCGCCGTGACGCCGGACGACGAGGTTCTATCGCGGCGGACGGTGACCGCTGCTGGCGACGATTGCACCGCTTCCGTCTGGCCGCTGGCCGGCCTCGCGCAGCGCGGCGGCGGTGACGTCGCCGGCCAGCCTCTCTTCCACGCCGGCGCCGGTCGGCGGACGTCACGTGCAGGCGACATCTCCGCGGGCCGGAGCTGCTCGCCAGGTGACGCGGGTCGCCGGGGTGCGGCGCTCGTGGCGCCCGCTGCGCCGTCCGCTGGCGGCGGGGTCGTGCCCACCTGGGACGGCAGGTCGCGCGCGGCGGCTCGCTCGTCAGCATCGACCGCGGCCGGTCACGATCCGCCCGCCTGACTCGCTCGGCGCCGGCTCAGGCCGTCGGGCCGACACGGCGTCAGGCCGGCGGCAGCGCGGAGCCTGGCGTGGGGCCCGTTGAGACGCGTCGGGCTGCGCTGAGAGGGACGAGGTGGACGAGGAATCGGCTGTGGACCGGAGCGGCGGGCCGCGGACGGGCCACGCTGCATTCCCCGGAGCGGCGGCCCGCGGACGGACCACGCTGCACTCCCCGGAGCGGCGGCCGATGGAGGGCTCTCCCGCCGCGGCCGAGCACGGCCGCGTCATGGGTCCGGAGCTGTGCTGGGAACGGATCCCGTGCTCCCGTATCTGGCTGTTGATTACGTCGAAGGGCGCCTGGTGGCGGTGCTATCTGGGTGCTTCGACCTCGGACTGTCGTGATGAGACGACAGACGTGACGTCACTGATGTGGGATGGAGGGGATTATGTGACGCAGCGGTTTGCCAGGACACTCCCGTAACACATTAATTGCGAATCTCTGATCCACAGGTTACGGAAGGTTTTTTGGTTCTGTAAACATATAGTTAAATGCTAAGAAGTGGCGCAAATGGGTGATTGCAGTGAATCTCATGCGTTGTGAAAGCTGTTCCCTCTTTCTCCGCTTATGGAGCGATGTCAGCGTCGCGCATCTCCGCCGCGCCTATTTTTCTTCTGCCGGAGGCGAGCCGTATGAGTGCCGGACTCATGGGGCGAACAGACTACGAGTGATGGCACGAAACGACGCAGAATGAGGCACTGACGTTTTCCGCCATGTGTTTTTGTGGGCTTCCTCGCCGTGACAAG